GCCCACAGTTAGTCTTAATTTATATTTTATGTGACAATCAATCGATTAATGAGGAATGGACCAAAACAATACCTAAGGTAAAAGGTATATACACACAAATCGAACCGATTTGTAAAGCATTACAAATCAATCAAGAAAATTGTGATCGAGCTATGATCTCGATAAGTTTTAATAGAATTGATCCATTATTTATGTATACACAATTGTTAAAAGAAGCACTTTTGCAAATAGAAGATGATGATGCAAAATCGATTAAGGAACTCGTTGAATATTGTCATCTTCAAGACGATGTTTCCAAAACAACACTTGACAAGATCGAACGAGAATATCGTAACCATACAGCCATTTGGTGGTACACAGGTCCATATTTTATCTACTCAATGCTTAATTGTGGTCTTCGACAAATGGATGTTGATATTATCCTGAAGATGGGCTTTTTCATCCGACATCTACATCAGCATATTACCGAACTACATCGCGAACAAAAAGCCAACATACCAGCAAAATTTGAAGTCTTTCGTGGACAAGGTTTGTCCATGGAAGATTTTGAAAAAATGAAAAAAACCAAAGGAGGACTTATGTCCTTCAATAACTTCCTGTCGACAAGTCACAATCGCGAGATTTCACTGGAAAATTTTGCACGGCCAGCAGCATTTAATACAAATTCAGTTGGTATCCTTTTCATTATGAACATTGACACGGCTATTTGTACAAAATCCTCAACACTATTTGCTGAAGTAAGCAAAGTTGGTTACTACAAAGATAAAGAGGAAGAAATACTCTTTTCAACACATGCGATTTTTCGTATCGATCGCATTGAACGAATTCACGACAATCACTCTGATCGGCTATACGAAGTTAATCTCACTATTGTCGGTAATGACAATCACGAATTGAACACACTTACTGCACATATACGTGAGGAACTAGGGGACCACAGAGGATTTTCTCGACTTGGTTTCATACTTATTAAAGTGGGCGAACCTGCAAAAGCAGAACAACTTTATCAAATTCTCCTCGCAAAGGCGTCTTCTGATCAAGGTCGAGCGGAATACAATCATCAACTTGGCTCGGTGTATTATGCCATGGGCGACTATTCAAAAGCACTTTTATATTACGAAAAGGCACTGAATATCAACGAGAAAATTCTCCCTCCGAATCATCCCTACTTGGCTTCTTCCTACCTCAACATTGGTTCGGTGTATTATAGTATGGGCGAGTACTCGAAAGCACTTTCATCGTATGAACGTTCACTTGAAATCCAGAAAAAAGCTCTCCCTCCGAATCATCCCGACTTGGCTGCTTCCTACAACAACA